TGTCTGGTCTTCCCAAGTCTTGAGCAGTTCTTTCTCTTATTTCTTCACTTACTCTATTCACCAAGACAGCCTTAACTATTTATTCAGTTTGATTAAACTTTAAACTTCAATCAAATCAGGTTTCTTCTGACTGTGGGTCTTGGATCTCCCTTTTCTTTAAGAATCTACTTTTAAAAATTTGTGACCGGGTGCAGTGGCTCACGCCTGTGATCCCAGCACTTTGGGAGGCTGAGGCAGGCAAATCACGAGGTCAGGAGATTGAGACCATCCTGGCCAACATGTTTAAACCCCGTCTCTACTAAAAATACAAAAATTAACTGGGCGTGGCGGCACGCACCTGTAATTCCAGCTATTCGGGAGGCTGAGGCAGGAGAACCGCTTGAACTCAGGAGATGGAGATTGCAGTGAACCGAGCTCGCGCCACTGCACTCTAGCCTAGCAACAGAGCAAGACTCAGTCTCAAAAAAAAAATAAATAAATAAATAAATAAAAACTTGTAATCACAAAATATTTCTCTACCTTTTGAAAGGCATTTATTATTATTATTATTATTTTATTTTTTTATATTTTGAGACGGAGTCTCGCTCTGTTGCCCAGGCTGGAGTGCAGTGGCCGGATCTCAGCTCGCTGCAAACTCCGCCTCCCGAGTTTACGCCATTCTCCTGCCTCAGCCTCCCGAGTGGCTGGGACTACAGGCGCCCGCCACCTCGCCCGGCTAGTTTTTTGTATTTTTTAGTAGAGACGGGGTTTCACCGTGTTAGCCAGGATGGTCCCGATCTCCTGACCTGGTGATCCGCCCGTCTCGGCCTCCCAAAGTGAAAGGCATTTAAATCTTCTTTAACTCTGAGCAGTTTTACAGACCCTGGAAGACTATCTTTCTCAAGGCCCTGGGAGCCATTCCTTTGAGATCATCAAGGGAGATAGTGCCCCTATCACATGGTCTCTGTAGAAGGGGAGAAACCTAATATCAGTGGCGCCTTGCTCCAAGTTTTGCCACTACCTCCTATTAGGAAGGTAGGAGAAAGTTTACTTTTCCTTTAGGTAAGGTCAATTAGCAGATACTGGTGGCCTATAATTTCCACCGTCCCAGCTTTGAAAATTCTCCAAATGTTTGTTTGATCACAGTTAAATTCAATCACTCTTCCCTCTTGCAACAGTCTTGAATAAGGTCTTCCTTGCCTGTTTAATTTTGCCCAGTGCATTTTTTTTCTTTGACTCTATGTATGCCTCCCCACTTCAAAATGACATTAACTCTAAATTCTCCCATTTTCCCTCCCCTTCCTACAACCTCAGCAAAAGTAAAACTTAAATTTTTACTTCCAGCACTGATCACTCACTGAGATGTGAAACTATAGCTACAAGTACCCGCTTGACACTGCCAACCTCACTTACAGAACATGTCTACAGTGAAAATTCTTCCCATCTCCAGATTCACCTCTCGCTTTGGATGTTTCCAATGGCAGCATCATTCTTCCAGTCCATGAGATTCAATATTTGGAATCAAACATTCCCCCATAACCACCAGTAAGTCACTTTATAATATGTATTTCTTCATTAATACAATTTATATGGCTATTTCTAGGACTATTTCTACCACCATCAGTCAATTTAGAAACTAAAGTTTTATGTCTATATTCTAGCATTTGCTTCCTAAAAGCTTTTTCTGTGCCTTGTTTTTCTTTTCCTGTCCTTTCTCTTACATGTCACTACTAATTTAATCTTCCTAAAATAGTATGTTTCACCATCACATGTGTGTCCAAAGCCCTTTAAAACCATATTTAAAACCATATTATTTTTTATTGGAGTCAGACCTTGTGATTTCTCAAGCCAATAAAACCTGAAAAAAAAGCTTCTCACATAGGCTTGCCAGCTAATAATTCTGCCAAATAACAGCATACAAGGAAAAAGAGAAAAGAAGAGAAGAAGCAGGAGGAGGGAGAGGAATATGAGGAAGGAAGAAGAAAGGACTGAAGGAATACGGAGAAGGAAGGTGGGAGAAAAGAAAGAAGGAAGTATGGAATGAGGGAGGGAGGGAGGGAGGGATGCAGGAAGGGAAGGAAGGAAGGGATAAAGGAAGGAAGGAAAGGAGGGAGAGGTCGGTCCTGACAAATTAAGTATATTTCCTCAATCAAAGGATATTTTAAAATTAAAATGGGACAAAGAACAATTTCAAAATAAAAGAATTATTTCAAGTTAAATAAATCTAATAATATGAAAAATATAATCCATTTTCTTTCCTTTTTTCATTTCAGCACCGTAGAATTTGGGAATCACAGCCTATAGGATGAACTCTAAATTCAATTCGGTTTTTTAGGTTGTTGATAATCTGGTCTAAATTTTCTATTTCCAATCATTTCTTCCACTTATTTCTACTCCAGTCAAATGCATCTCCTCTCAATTTCGTCAACACATTCCCACCCCGTTTGCTCTTTCTCTATAACATGCTCCCTGTCCTCTTTCTTTGCTGACATCCTAGTCTCCCTTCAAGGCCCTGTCTGAATTAGTTCCCCCACAACCATAAAACCTTTCTCTGGTACTCTTTCCCTTCTTGCTCTAAGCTCCTGGAAGCCATTATTTCCCAGAAAATATTACGTGGAATTTTGTTGCCTAATTTATTCCATCCATTTATCAACAACTAACAGCTCCAAAGTTTGTACATACAATCCAGACCTCTCTCAGAACTCCAGACTTGCATATCCAGGGGCCTGACATTTCCACTGCGATGTCCAATAGACATCTCTCGTTCAGCCCCACCACAACTGAACTCCTCGTTGTTCAGAAACTGCTGTGCCTGATGACAATTCATCCTTCTGTTTGGCAAAACCACGGTTGCTTTTGCATAAACCTAATAGTTGCTCAGGCAAAAACACTTGGAACTATTCTTAATTTCTTTCTTTCTCTCACATCCTACATCTAATCTGTCTAGGGATCCCATGGACTTCCCCTGTAAAATATATTCTAGTTCAACCCTTTCTCACCATCTCCACTTTGATCACCCCAGTAGGGCCATCCTCCCCTGGGTGGGGAAGGATTCTTGCATTGCTGAAATAGCCACAGAATTGGGCTTGATGTTTCCACATTTGCTGCCATTCGCAAAGTCTGTTTTCATAAAGCAGCCAGAGTGATCCTTTCAAAACAGTGAATCAAATAATGTCACCTTCCAAGGTCTTCCTGTTTCACTCAGAAGAAAAGCTCAGGTCCTGACAATGACTACATACCCTACAAGATCTGCCCTGCTCCTGCCACTCTCTCCTCCTTATCCGGAGGCTCCCACTCTCCCTGACTACTTTCACTCCAGCACACTGGCTGGTTGCTCTTCTTGAAACTTGCCAGAGACTTGTCACCTCAGGCTTTGCTCTAGCTGCTCCCTCTGTGTGCAGGAATCTTCCCTTAGATGGTCTGCAGAGCTCACTCCTTTACCTTCAAGTCTTTGCTCAAAGCCTTCCTTCTTAGTGAGAATCACTTTGACCCCTTCTTGACTCTTACAGCTTGCTCCTTTCCCCTCACTTCAACACTGACACACCAATGATCCTTTTTCTGAAATCTCCCCACTCTTAAACCATCTTGAGTCATATTACCCTCACTCAGGAACAAGACCTAGAAAGTGTTCCTTAAAGCACACAACCTATACATCCCAGACAAGTCATTTAGCTTCAGCATCCTTGCATGTGAAAATCATGCATTGTTATAGGATAGGAACAAAGACCTGTTTTCCTGCTTGCATGGAAGAAAGGAAGAAAAAGACGGTTTGGAGGTGTAGAATAGGAAGACGGATGAGGAAGGAATGCCATTTCAGTGAGCTAAACACTGAGAAACTACAAACCACAAATATTTGTAATTTCAACCACATCCTGAGGGACCAGAAAACAAGCAAACTGCAACATCCACAAAACCTACAAAATGCAACAGGCGCTAGAAATGGGAGAAAAAAAAAAAACCCTCCTCAAAAAGCACAAACACAAAAACAAAAAACCTAGCTGTTTTCAAAATAGAAGTAGGTGTTGGCAAAGACTTATCCAAGGAGTTAAAAAGTGACCCAAGGGTCCATAAGATATTCCTTTTACCTGAAGCATTGTCTTACAATGAGAAATACAACTACCTCTATACAGATAACATTGAATTGTTTTTGTTTTGTTTTGTTTTGTTTTGTTTTCTGTTGGAAGGGTGTCTCCTGAATTAGTAGATCAAAATACAAAACCATGAAACCGTGAGATGTGAGAAAATGTTTAGATTTAGGATTTTGGTCTTTTGGAGGGCAGGAATTTTTCTTTTTTTGCTTTGATTTATATACATTTTACAAAATATACTCAGAAATAATAACCACATGGTTAGTCCTGTTTAAGGCTTCCTGTTTCTATGTTCAATAATATAATATTAAAATTTTCTATAAATCCACAAAATTAAATAAAAGGAAGAAAATGTGTACTGAATGGAGTTTATATTTCAAAATACTGCATTTAGGCAATGCAAATCAGTAATCTCAAAATATACATTTCATGTGGTTACAAACTAAGATAGTATCAAGCTGTCAAAATCAACCTTCTTATTCAGAAAGCACCAATATTTTAAATGAACAAAATAATAAAGTCACATATTAAGATACAATAATTTGATTTCAAACCATGATAAATGTCTTAGATACTGGAATCTAACCTGGAATCTACAGAAAACATAATTTCTATATTTAATGTTTTAAGAAAAAAAGTGCTTCATTCTCAAATTATTCTCTTACCTTATCTTGATTTTAAATATGGCTTTTGAATTCTATAAATATCAAAATCAAATGCATACTACCTTAAAGTTCCTATGAAAGGGAGCTCAACATAAAAAAAAGCAATGTCACCCAAAACAAATTCTATACAAAATTTTTCCTTATAGTGGTCTCCAATGTTATTGTTTGCATCTCCTTTACTGTAGTCTGCAACAGCACCAAAGATCCATAGATTATTTCTGGATGGAATTAATTTTAAAAGATAATCTTTATGCAAACTTTTACTTACACATTCTGTGGCTGTGACAATTAATGAGCCTGAGATGACAGATTTTCCTCCATTAAAGCTCACTGAAACATCAAGAGTTCTGAAAAAGAAATGAAGAAACAATAATTTTATATACAATTAAAACCAGAGGAGTAGGAGATTTTTATTTCCTTACATAATTCAAAACCAGCTAGAAAACATACTTAAAGAATAAGGGTCTTGAACTCCTGACCTCAGGTGATCCACCCACCTCGTCCTTCCAAAGTCCTGGGATTGCAGGCATGAGCCACCACGCCTGGCATGGCCAACATGGTGAAACCCTGTCTCTAGTGAAAATACAAAAATTAGCCGGGTGTGGTGGCAGGCGCCTGTAATCTCAGCTACTCAGGAGCCTGAGGCAGAAGAATTGCTGGAACTTGGGAGGCAGAGGTTGCAGTAAACCGAGATCATGCCATTGCATTCCGGCCTGGGCCAACAACAGTGAGACTTGGTTTCCAGAAAAAAAAAAAAAAGAGTAAGAGTCACAGCTTTTGGTAAATTATGCCAGCTTTTTTCTTCCTTAGTTCTAGTCTTTATGTATTTGTAAGGCAAACTTATTAAGTGGTTTAATTGTTTCTTTACAAAGTAGTAACAGAAATACAGACATTAAGAAATTTCTCAATCCAGAAAAATGCCGAGGTTGTTTCAGATTCACAAAAACCTACAAAAAAAGAAAAGCTTTAGATCCCATTTAGCCTATTTTCCTGTCTCTAGGTATTACTACTAAGAATATAAAACTGGAAGCAATAAACCAGTCAAAAATAAAATATAAAGAAAGTGAATATGAAAGACAGTGACAAAGAAAAGAAAGAAGAGAGAAGGATTTATTTGCAGGTATTTGTTGTAGATGGTCCCAAGATATTAAACTATTCCAATGAAGGTACAAAGAAGAGATAATAATTTTTGTTCCTAGCTAATAAATATTATAGTTAAAATATAGTTCTTATTTTGAAAATATGATTTCAAATTCTAAAACAAGTAATAATCATTAAAATTTCATTAATTTAGATTGATTATTTGGGATTAGTTAGCCTAGAGTTAGTAATTTTTTATTTAAAAAATAACTAAAACAAGATATCAAAGGAGAAAAAAATGACAAGAGAGTGTGTACGGAAAGAGCTCTTTTCCAAAACAGTTTACAAAGGATATTATCATATGATTGGTTTGCAAACAAATCAAAGCCATCCATCCATAGGCCAAGTATGGTGGCTCACGCCTATAGTCCCAGCACTTTGGAAGGCTGAGGTGGGAGGATTGTATGAACCCAGGAGTTTGAGACCAGACTTGGCAACAGTGAGATGCCCATCTCTACAAAAAAATAAAAATAAAAATAATTAGCCGGGCATGGTGGCATGTGCCTATAGACCCAACTACTCAGGAGGCTGTGGCAGGAGGATTGCTTGAGCCTGGGAGGTTGAGGCTGCAGTCATCTCTGATTGAGCCACTGCACTCCAGCATCAGCAACGCAGCGAGACTCTGTCAAAAAAAAAAAAAACAAAAACAAAAACAAAAACAAAAAACAAACTCCCAGAAACAATCTCAAGCTGTTGACAGAAAGGGGAGATGAGAAATATTATTCAGTTCTTACCATATGCCAGATGCTATCCTAGGCATTTTATGGGCATTATCTATTTTAACCCTTCACAGTAGCCCTTGAAGTAAATAGTAGTTTCACAGTTTTACAGATGGGGGGCAAGAGGCACAGAAATGTTAATAACTTTACCCAAAGTAATAAAGCTAGGATTCTAACTTTGAACTCTTTCCATCATACCAGAGAGGCTTGATTAAATGATGAAATCAAAGTCCTTAATGTGTTTCTTTTCTCAATGTGCTATTTGGTTTGGATTCATACAATAAAGCTACTGGGAAGGATATTCCTGGCAAAGTTAAAGCTAAATTCAATCAAAATACAGAAATACTTCTATTAAAACATTTCTTTGTAAAGTATGTACTTCAAAACACGTTGTTTAAAAACATGGTTTAGCTAGGCTGGGCACAATGGCTCACGTCTGTAATCCCAGCACTTTTGAGAGGCGAGGCGGCGTGGCATGCACGAGGTCAGGACAGATTCGAGCACCATCCTGGCTAACACCGCGTACAAAACCGCCGTCCTCTACTAAAAATAACACAAAATCAGCGCCAGGAAGTGGTGGCAGCGTGCCCTGTAATCCAGCTACTGCGCGGGAGGGCTGAAGGGCCAGGAAAATCACTTTGAACCGGAGGCAGAAGTTGCGGTGAGGCCAATCGTGGCCACTGCACTCCAGCCGGGCCCGACAGAGCGACGACTCTGTCTCAAAAAAAAAAAAAAAAAAAGGAGTTTGCTAAATCCAGGCAGAAAAAGTAATGAGAATCTGGATGTTTACATCTTAATTAACTGTAGCTCTTTGAACTATTCCAGACACAGAGACGCAAGTGGCATATTAAGAAAGAAAACTTAAACCCTAATTGCTCATCTTGGGAAGCCAAATGATTTGCCTTGTTTTTGTTTTTTTAATGACTAACATAATCAAATAAAATATTTGTTCTTAGTTTTTACATTGCCTCTAACTTTTAAAAGCAATGGTGGCCGGGAATCATCCTGACATGTTGGCGATGATCTTATTCTTTTTGGAATATAATTCTCTTGATTCATCAATAATACTGTGATTCTTCGGCAGGTAAATTTACTGATTCAACCTTTAAGGGATCCAGTTACACCTTGACCCTGAAAGTTGTTTATAATTGGACCCAGTTTTAAAATCACTCAGAAACAACAGAGTCCTCTAATGAAAGAACATCTCAAACTTTTATGCTAACAAAATGAAATGAGAGAACACGATACATATATAAACATGGTAATGCTTCCTATAAAAAAAAACAAAGTTTACCCTTCCTAATAGTCAGAAACTGCCATGGCTGATATGATCTTGTAACCGCACCACACAATAAGCTGGCATTCTCCTGAAAATCTCAGTCCATACGTAATGAATGTGGCTGGTGCGTAAAAAAAAAAAAAAAAAAAAAAAAAAAAAAAAAAAACTGAGTTAAGTCTCCACAGATATAGAATTCCACTTGATGATATATGATGTATGGAACTGAAACAAGAATATCTTCCTCTTTTTGAGAGTAGTAGTAGCAGCATGATCAAAATGTAACCATAAACACTACTCACAATTACAGGCAATTGTTGATTTCTTACTAGGAACCAGGCACATTAATTCATCTTCTCATTTAATTCTCACAGCAACCTACTGAGGTCAGCACTAGCATCATCTCCATTTTGTAAATGAAGAAACAAGCTTAAAAAGGTAACTTGCCCAAATATTGGACTTCACTGACTCTGTACTCAAAATGCTTTCACTTCTACAACATACTACTTTAATCCTCCACATGTATTTTAGGGTCTTATATTTACATTTCTCTCATTAAAATGAATTTCAGTTGAATCTTCCAGCCTTTTACTACATTCACATATTTCTCATGGTTAACTAGAATGGCATTTACTATATGCTAAAGCAATATATTTATTTGTGACTATATATATTTATGAATATGTGTGTATATATATATGTATGTTTTCTGTGAAAATTTTTCAGAAGCGTTGCAAATATGACAAACACAGTTACATCAGCTTTTAAACTTTGCTGCTTCTTTTAGAAAAACATTTTTGAAATTATTGGGATGGTATTGGCACCATCATTAAGCTAGTGCCTTTGCCCAAAGCTATGCTACTCCTTTTCTGGCACAGGTTGAGAAAACCACCCCCTGTAATCCAAACCAAATTCTGTGAGCTTTCTTTGCCTCAAGACTCAATGATACATATTTAATGTTTTCTGTCATATTTTATGTCATTTATGTTACCATCTATGGATTGTTATTCCTACTCTTACATAACTTCTACTTCTGGTTAGTATGTTTCTGACAGTGGAAACCATACTGTCAGTTACAGAGGCTTTCTTGTGGGCCAAGTATTAAAACAACATTGTGTTTACTTAGTTGCAAACATATATGGGAGGCAAGAGAGCAGTTCATTTTTATTTGCCCCAAGGATCTAATAATATTGAAAAAAGGGATTTTGGCGAATCTGGAGTCCTGAGTTTGAACCCTCATCACTCCATTTTTAATCTTCCATTTCTCAATGTGTAAAATGGGGAGAACTGTACCTATTTCAAAGTTGTTTTGAGGAAAAGAGCGTGGTAAAATAATATACATAAAATATACAACACAACGCCTGGGACACAACAAGCACTCCATAAATTACTGTTAACACCTGGATATTTATCTAATGGATTATTTAGAATATCAAGGTACTTTTTAATAAACCTTTTAGATTCGAGCTAAGAAGCAATGTATACAGAAGGAATAAAATCATTATGTGATACCTTTTGTTTAATTTAATAAATTTCTATTCTGCTTACTGCCATATAAAAATATTGTAAGCTAAATTATTTTTAAAATGTCTACCATATAATGTCGGGAAATTTCATGTAAAATTTTTTTTCAACGCTATATTCTTCCTGTTATAAAACATGACCTTGATTAAATCCAACATTATAGCTATGTTGAGCTCTGTGCTTAAACCTCAGGCCTAAAATCACACTCCAAATTGGTTTAGGAATATTTGCCAGTAAAATCACTCAATCAGTCACTTATTTTAGTACTAGCTAATTGAACAAGTACTTATTAATTGATTGTAGTAGCAATGACAATTGGGCTGTATTGGTAAAAGGGCTGCTGTAACAAATAATACAAATTACAACGTAAATAAAAGGAAGCCCCATAAACAATTACAAAAGAATATGATATTAATAAAAATAGGTCTAAGTACAGGGGTTCTAGAGGGTCATGTGGGAGATACAACAGACTTGGCCTTGGCATGAGAGCATTAGCAAAGTTTTCCTGCAGGAAGTCAATGACAGGATGAAGCTTAAAGAATGATCAGAAGTTAGGAAAAGAGATTAGAAAGGAGTCCATGCAGATGGAGCACTCCGACAGGGTGGAAGGCAAGAAAGGGACAGGGATAGAACAGTCAAAGAAGTAAAAGTGATTCAATGCTCCAGTAACAAAAGAGGGTGAGAGTAA